GTTCAAACTGGCTGCTGCCCAGTCTGCCCAGCAGGTCCCAATTCCCCTGGGCTCAGCGCTGGCTGCAGCTGCCTGGGATCCCGGCCACCCACAGTGCCCACCGAGCGCGGGAGCCGAAGGAGGGGGCCTGTTCTGCTGCCCACATCCAAATGGGCATAACTGGGTCCTAACGAGGTTAGAGCAGGCTAATTGCCTCTCCAGAACGGCAAGCCTTGACGCAAACCGGGGCCGGGAGCTCACTTGTTTCTGTAATCGGGTTAGAGGAGGGTGGGTGGCCCGGTGAGGGGCCGTGTTCAAAGTGCCGGCGCTGGGCTTCACGCCTGCTACTGCTGCTGTTAGCACAGCTGCCGAGGCGGCACTGGGGCCAGGCAGGGGGACCTCCGGGCACCACCTGCAATAACAACGCTTGTGGGGGGGCAGGTGCAGGAGGCCAGGCAGGGAGCGTGGGACCTGCCGGGGACAGAGCAGGTGAGGGGGCAGGTTGCTCCCTTCACCCCGTGAGGCTGGATGAGCCCCTCTTGGTCATGCTTAGGGGGAACCCTGCATCCTCTATGGGGTGGTCGGTGCAGGGGACCCAGAGCAGGGTGTGGGGGGGAAGAGCAGCTGCAGATCCAGAAAAGCATGCAGGGCAGGGAGGAAGCAGGGGCAGGGGGGCTCTGGCTGCTAGCAGGTCCCAGGACACTGTGTCTCTTGCCTCCTGCTCAGGGACCCAGGCTCAGGCAGCAGGGACCGCTGCCTTTTTTTTTTTTTTTTTTTATTAAATGAAAGCAACCCAAACATTACCATAAATGCCCAAAGCAGCTCCAGCCCGGCAGCGGAGGGGATGGGAGGGGACAGGACACAGCAGCCCGTGTGCAGAGCTGGGGGCAAGCCCGGGAGGGCATGTGCCAGAAATTGGAGCCAGGATGGAGGGAAGGGAGCCTCGAGGTGGGGGCAGGTGCTAGATCTGCTGCTACAAGGGGTCCGAAGCACCCTGCGGCAGCCTGGGCGTGCCATGGCCAGGCTGGGCTTGGGTTGAGTGACATCAGCAAGGAGCTGGGACCAGGGCAGTGGGGCTTGCTGTGCCCAGAGCGTGCTGCTGGCCCCCCAGGGACCCCTGGCAGTCCCCCTGGACTCTAGGCATCCTGCCAAGTGCTGGCAGGGAGGACAGGAGCACTGCCAGCTATGCCAGCCCCTGGGGCTGCCCACCCTGACAGCAGCACAGAGAGGGTGGTTGGGGGCCAGGTCTAGCAACTGGCTGGTGTAAGGATTTGTCTCCAGTGCTTGCAGGGAGTTGCCCCCTGGGTAGGCAAGTAGCAGCCCCCTGCCTGGAGCCCTGGGACACATCAGTCCCTTCTCCAGCCTGGACGCGGTGGGCAAGAGAGGCGCGGAGCAAGGGGCTGTGACCATGCTGCTGAAGTCCGAATCGGATTTAACCTAAATCAGTTCAGTCTGATACTACGTCCAGCCAGGTTTATCTTAAACTGGTTTCAACCATTTTAGACATGGGCTATATGGACTGAACTTCTGTTGTCTTACAGATTTGAACTGGAATCTGAACACTTTTACCAGTTTGCGTGTAATTTCTGTCCCTAGCCTCTGAACCCAGTCTTTGGCTTGGGAAGTGCCCTGCTAAGCTGCTTCAGGAGAGTCCCCTCAATGGCAGAGATGTGTGGTTTGGAGCGACCCAGGGTGGATTTGGCTCGATAACCCCAGCTCAACTCAGTCTCTTATTCAGGGCTCTGTACATAGCACACAGGCCTGGGGGCAGCCACTGCGCCACTCAAAAAAACAAGCTTCAGGTTGGGCAGGAGTCTGCCTAGGCTTCTTCAGGTGAATCACTCAACCCCAGAAATGCATGCTGGGGGGCAGTGGTTAGGGGGATTTTAAGTAATAACATAAGGCTCACCACTTAATGAATCAGACTGTAAGTCTCTTGCCCAGGCTCCTGTCGCACGGGCAGACAGCAGAAGAGAGTGAACAGACTGTGACCAGAGTCTTTCCCACTGCTCCTCTTGGACTTGCAGCCTCCAGCATTTAAAGTCAAGGAAACTCTGATTCACAGGCCATGCCCCTCATTCCCTAGCTACCAATGCCCAAGAATAGAGGCATTCCTCCAAGAATATCATATCCAATCTCTTTTTCAAAGCTGGCTGAACTATCAGCTTCCACCACATTTGGTGGCAACAAGCTCCACGCTTCAACAACACGCTGCGTGAACAAGAACTTCCTTTTGCTTATTTTGAACTTACTACCTGCTGGTTTCATTGTGTGACCCTGTAGCAGGTGGCCAGTCAGCCCAGCTCTAATCAGTCCTCGAGCCCTTGAAGCTGGTCCCAGCAACAGTCCTTCTCTGGGCTTCAAAACACAAGCTGTAACACCCTGGATGGCTCAATTGCAAATATAAAACAACTCTAAAATAAACACTTCCAGCAAGAAGTAACGCTTACCCTGCAACCTTCCTTCAAGGAGCCCTCTGTCCCCATACAAACATTTCTCGCTAGGTACCACACCCTGACTTCCTCTCCTCTACTTTTATATCCGGTCATCTAGTCAAACTTCCCCTCCTTATTGCTGATTGCCTGCCAGCTGAGGCCCCTTACACAAGCAGCTTGTTGCCAGATGGCTAATTGATCCAGGCTGCCAGCCCATAGCTCAGGGGCGGGCAATTATTTTGGGCAGAGGGGCTCTTACTGAGTTTTGGCAAGCCATTGAGGGCTGCATGACAGGCAGCCCAGGGCAGACAAATATTAATTTTCTAATTTTTTTAGCGGTCCCATGGGCCAGATAGAATGGCCTGGCGAGTGCCCCCGAGCCGCACTTTACCCACCCCTGCCATAGCCTGTTACAGACCGCTACTTCTTGTGTGGTGAGAGAGAGTAATACTTCCCTATCTACTTTTTCCTCACCGTTTAGTATTTTAGAATCATAGAAAACGAGGGTTGGAAGGGAGCTCAGGAGGTCACATCTAGTCCAACCCCCTGCTCAAAGCAGGACCAGCCCCAACTACATCATCCCAGCCAAGGCTTTGTCTAACTGGGGCTTAAAAACCTCCAAGGATGGAGACTCCACCACCTCTCTGGAAAGCCTGTTCCAGTGCTTCATCACCCTCCTAGTGCAGTTTTTCCTAATATCCAACTTAAACCTCCCTTGCTGCAACTTGAGCCCGTTGCTCCTTCCTCCGTCACCCGCCACCACTGAAAACAGTCCAGCTCCATCCTCTTTGCAATCCCCCTGCAGGGAGCTGAAGGCTGTTATTCAATCCCCCTGCCTTCTCTTCTGCAGACTAAATAAACCCAGTTCTCCCAGCCTCCCCCCAGCCCCACACCCATTTTTGTTGCCCTCCACTAGACTCTCTCCAATGTGTCCACATCCTTTCTGTAGTGGGGGCCCACAGCTGGACACAGGATTCCTGATGTGGCCTCACCCATGCAAAATAGAGGGGAAGAATCACTGCTCTTGATCTGCTGGCAACACTCCTACCAGTGCAGCCCAGGATGCTGTCAGCCTTCTTGGCAACAAGGGCACACTGCTGGCTCATATTCAGTTTATTGTCCACTGTCACCCCCAGGTCCTTTTCTGCAGAGCTACTACTTAGCCAGTCAGCCCCCAGCCTGTACCAGTGCATGGGATTCTTCCTTTCTAAGTGCAGGACTTTGCACTTGTCCTTATTGAACCTCATGAGATCCCTTTTGGCCCAATCCTCCAATTTGTAAAGGTCTCTCTCAATCCTAGCCCTGCCCTCCAGCATATCTACTCCTTCCCCCAGCTTGGTGTCATCTGCAAACTTGCTGAGGGTGCATCCATCCCATTTTCCAGGTTGCTGATGAAGACATCATACAAAACCGACCCCAGGACTGACCCCTGGGACTCTCCACTTGATGCCGGCTGCCAACTAGACATCGCGCTATTGATCATGACTCACTGAGCCCAACACTCCTGCCTTGCAGTCCATTCGTCCAATCTGAGTAACCCTTAGTAAACCCTAGTAATCCTTAGTTTACCCGTAGCAAACTTTGTAGACCCTTATCTTGCCCCCTCAAGTGTCTCTTTTCTAAACTGAACAGGCCTGGGCTTGCCCATTGGAGGCCCTTCAACACCACGAACCCTCGTTGCTGCCCTTCTCTCGCTCTTCTTATCATTTTTGAGGTGTGGGGACCAAAACTGGGCACAGCCTTCCAGGTAGGGACGCCCCACGGATTTAAAGAGGCATCATGACATTTCTGCTTTGGTTATGAGCCCCTTCCTAATAATCCCTAACGTTTTCTCTGCCTTTTTATGGCTGCTGAGCACCAAGCTGGTGTTTGCAGAGGACCGTCTGCTGGGACTCCCAGATCTCTCTCCCGTGCAGTAACAGCCAAGGCTAAACCCATCACAATTTGGGTAGAGTTCAGGCTATTTGTGCCCGTGTGCAGAGGTGAACAGGGGGAGAGGGCAGTGGCGCACTTGCAACCCCCTTCGATTCCTGCTGCATCCAGGGTGCGTCTACACGAGACACTGACTGCGCGGTCATTCGGCGATGCATACGTAAGTACTAAATGACTGCGCAGTACCCGTGCAGCGGTGTCTCCGAACGGTTTTTTGGCGACGTCGGTGACTTTTTACTACTGCGCAGCAGCGGCGCATCATGCTTCATGCCACACGGCAGCACCGAGCTACGGCGCAAGCAGCATCGTGGGTAGACGCCACCCCGAAGTTTGCAACCAACAGCCTGGTGGGCAGCAGAGTTTCTATTCTGGGAGTCCTTAACTTCGTGGCTCGTTACCATCTACTGGATCCCTCCTAAACTCGCCATCCCATGGGCGTTAACCACCCTCCTTTCGTTTCCACGGCCTCCATCCGTCAAGCTACCCTTCGTCCTGCAATTCGGCTGTCCGTTTGCTGCTCCTGGTCACCACGCGCCCATTTCACAGCCCTGCAGACTGGGTTTAATCCGCCCCGCTGCATTGCTAGGGTTTTTTGCTGGAATAATCCAGCCCGAGGCCCGGAGCGTCTCAGCAAAGCTTCAATTTTATTTGTAACCAGAGAGAAACGTGATGTATACCCAGACACGTGGGCATCCAGGCCCACATGCGACCCCCACGCGCAGCTGCCCCTTTAAAGGCCCCCGAGGGGGGGCGGGGCTACACCCTTCCCCACTAGCCAATCCCAGGAGCCTGAGCCCCGCCGGTCCCGCCCTCCGGACGCGTGCGTACTTCAAACCGACCAATCCGAGAGCGGCGGAGGCGGGCCCGCGCTTCCCATAGGCTGCGCCCCCGCCCCGCCCCCTCAAGATGGCGGCGCCCAGCGGAGCGGAGCGGGCGGTGGGGAGAGGCGGAGGTTGAGCCCCGCCGCGGGGGGGGACGGGCCGGGGCCCCCGCAAGCGCGGAGGGGGAGGACCACCCCCTGGGCTGGGGACCCCACGTCGGCCCGCCC